ACTATTCTGCCAAATATCACCCTCTCAATATGTCCAGGAAAATCAAAACAGAGACAAATCTCTGGTTGTGACGACCATTACCATGGTGAGACAGGATCGAAGGCGGTTCTTTTGGCACGACCTGAACCCACAAACCATATCTTTCATTTTGTTATCGACAGCAGATCGTCAAACATAACTGCTTTTACAGGCATCTGCATTCTCTAATTTCTAGGGTGGCTCGAGTGCAGTTCTCGTAAAGTTGTTGATCATCAGCACAGTAGAATAACAATCCCCTAAATAATCATAACAAACATACATTACCTGCACTCATTCCCGTCTGGCGGTCTGAGAAAAACCATCTACTTGATCACTTGTTTCCGTAAAGTGTATTACCCTGGATTCTGAACAGTGAGGTGGCTCAATACAAACACTTTTAGTGAAAACCATACGGAAATCAAGCAGGTCACCATCATTTCCAGGAGCACTTACTTAGCTTGTGTTTTATCGTCTATATTCTTGACATAGTCAGTCTGCACTGGGGTATAGTTCAATACCGATTCATATTATCTTAACCACATCCTCTTTGTGGCCAAAGGATGATCAATGCGCTCAGTGTTTCTGTTATTCTCAAGTAAGACTATTTTCAACGAAATTGACTACATATTTGTCCCAAAAACTATTTGAAGATAACTATTCTTTTCATCAATCATATCCCAGAGTAAGTATACCTACTTCAAATGAAAGGAGTTTTCTCTTCTCACTTACTAGAAAATTTGTTTTATCAGTGGTTTTCTATTTCTCAGTTAGAAGTTTCTTCCCCAATATCATGCAAAAACCCTGGAATCATGTCACATTTGGAAAACTAGGAAAATGTGGAGCCGGTACTATAAAACTCAGATGCTTTCCCTAACCCCAATCCCCTCAAAGTTGAGAGTTCCTGCTTTTGTTAATCTCTCAGAAACTAAAAAGGCAAAATTTTACATGATTGAATTACACGTGCACCCATAAATCATTTTTGTAAACCTTTCCAGATTCTCAATTCCTGGGTGCTCTACCAATAGTTATTGAATTATTGACTTCAATCTAATAGCGTTCCTTTGTTGAGTTCTAAGCGTCTTACTACATAAGAAAAAAGAAATGCTTGTTGGGCTAGATCTGATTGACAAAATATCCCTTCGAACACCGGGGACCGATTAAGAATGGGACCGTTAACCTCAACAACAAACGATTCCGAAGTGTTCCTCGGAACACTGATTTCCATTTTTCTGGTTGATTAAGCGAACTGATTGTAATCTCGCATAGGTTTAAATTAGGAAACTGTTCCAATTTTATCATTCGGTAAGCTTCTACCAAAACTTCCGCTTATCTCCAAAAGGTGAATGGTTATTTCGCATTTACTTCAGTTTCACCTTATACGCATCTGAGTTTTGGGAGTCGGCTTTGATAGTTTCACGTTATTCCGTTGAGCCAAACTTGAAAATGTCTCGGAATCGTGGCCTAATCTGATCGGACTAGAGCAAATTCCTTAGAGCCACAGTAGATCTCAACGGATTTGGTACGGCTAAAACAAACTGATTGCATAACAGAGCTCCTGCAAACTGGAACTACTGTGCAAGTATACTCTCCCATTGTACTTTAATAAAGGAATGTAATGTTTTTATTAGATCGAACATAGACAAACACCAGTTTCCCCATAGGCTCCCTATCTCTGCCTGTTATACAGGGGACCGATCAAACTCGTGCAGCATTGTGGCTTTTGTCACATTTGTTCCGTCCAACGCCTGGTGTTCCCAGCCTCATTCACGAGATTGCATATAGCACTGTCCCGTATCAATTTAAGGTTAACTTTTGCGTTTTTTGGTTTATATTTTTAGTGTTTTCAGGATCAAAGATGAAGCGTGAGTACTTTGCGGTCAAATACTTTATAAGGTTATTCAGGCTGGAAAATTTTCATCAATTGGCTTGTTTACTGTGCATTAAATTAACTGAAATAAGCCTTTCAGGATACGTGTGTTCAGCGGACGACCGCTTCACATGTGACCTCATTTCTTACAAGTGTCACAATACTTCGTATAAGGAAGAATGAGATAAACCTTGCTATCATAGAGACTATTTCGAAGTAGCTATCGTTTCCGGGAACAAATAACACAGTCAGGCCTCAGTGTGAAAGTTATTCGTCAAACTGATAGTGTACTTGATAAGATCAACACTAGAATGTGAATTTGGTGCCAAGGTGGAAAATGGGTAGTTACGCGACACAACAAGATGACTATCATTCTGCTTCTTGAATGGGTTTATTTTGATTGACATATTTTCAAATACCTTAAGTGAACCGCCGACAATTTTACTTTCGAATTATAACTGAGAGATACGTTTCGCGTCCCAGATAAGATACTCACGTGATGCTAACGATTCATTATACAGCACTCTGTATGAGATAAATCAACATTCACAGGGTAATCTCACCATTCTACTTGTTTCTGAAGCTTGAAGTAAACTTAGTTCAAACTTTTGCTCATGTTCGATAGGCTATAAAGAAAGAACAACAAGACAACTATCGCGAATAATCAACGGGCACAAGTCGGTGGAGTATGGCAACGAGGAAATTATATGATGGAACACCTTCCATCAAGCAATACAAAAATTTAGCGCGCTAAGTGTGTCAGACGGTTCAGTAGAGGAACCCACCTAGTAACGCTTCAGTCCTGCAGTTTTATCACATCAGTCACTGCATATTTAACGCCCACAAGATTCCCATGACGGGACTGACAAGGTAAAGAAATTGTGAAACCACATTGACACTACTATGAGTAGTCAAATAAGTTCAGCTTAAAAGTTGGACAGGCCACCACCGTCGGCTTCAACCGCCCCGCTTTCCATCATTTCAGACAGGTGACCGTTCGCGCAGGGCATCTTAATAAATTCCGGCTGACATCCTCGTACATTTATATTCAAATCCTTATCCC